TGATGATAGGGGCGATGGCGAGAGGCTGAGCAGCAGAGTTGGGGAGGAGCACTGGTGACGGAGGCACGGTGATGGAGGAGCAGCGGGGAGGCGATGTGTTGGGAGGAAGAAGAAGAAGAAAGAAAATGAGTTTTTTTTTGTGAACTGTTGGAGAGGGGTGTACGGTGAAGAGAAAAAGAATGTTTATTTTATGGAAGGGGAGAGAGAGAAGGATATGCATGTGATTTGGGGGGTTGGTTTGGAAAGAAATCAAAAGATGGGGAGTGATTAGGGGATTGATTGAGAAATAAATTAGGGGAAAATATGGAAGGAATTCAAATTCAAATTAGAAGAAATTAAGAGAGGGAAAATTCAAAATTTCCACATAATATTTTGAATTATATTAATAATTAATAATCAACCAAAAATCTTTTTTATTAATATTTATATACTACTGTACTATACTCAACTTTACATCAATAATAACAAGGTCATTAATAATATTAATTACCAAATGATTATATATATAAATCACTAAACCGTAAATTAATATTTAGCAGAATTAAAAAATACAAGACTATATATTTTATTATTTATTTATTTTGAAAACTCAAAAAATTCTAGAAATTAGGAAAAGTATTAATAAAATATAATATAATATTTCAGATACTAGAAAAATTGTTTAAATACGTATCGAAAAATTTTCGGTCGTTACACACGCTGAGTCTTAACTCTGCGTCTTGGATTTTAGACGCAGAGTTAGGTGTCTGTTGAAGAACGCATTGGTCATTTGTACGCTGGGTCTTAACTCTGCGTCTTGGATTTGAGATGCAGAGTTGGGTGTCTGCTGAAGAACGCACAGGCTGCGTGCGTTTTGAGTTGAGAAGCGCAGAGGTGGACTCTGCGTTTGGAAGAGGTTGTTAACTTGTAACCTCGTCTATTATAGCATCGCGAAGACTATTGCTCATTGATCTTTGCTTTAGCTGTTATGGGGTGTGAAAGTCGTCAGATTGTAACTCTCACAGTTGGTTGTGAAGGCTACTGAATAGAGTTTTCATCAGTTGTCGGAAGTATCGTTGAATTGTAACTCTTCTCGATCTATGTGAAAAGTCCTCCGTTTGCAGCTTTCATTTGTTGACATGAAAGTCATCTGATTGTAACTTTCGTTGTTGAATCTTGATGGGGATCAGCTATATATTATGATTTTTAGACAGCCTACATACGTTAATAGATAACTTCAAATCTTGCTTCAGATCACGTCATGACTAAATGCTGATATCAACATGACTGTGTAGATCAACACGGTCAGGCCGTGTTTAACTTTGTCACACTGCTCTTTCTAGGCTTTTCTTCTATATTCAACCCTCCTGTGTTGTTAGACACTGGGGGACCATGTAGCCTCTTTCCATGCATTCCTTGACTCCTTGGCTCTGAATCTATGCTAAGCTCCAGTATTTCCTACACAATATATAAATAGAGTAGTAAATAGGAACAAGGAAGCTAAACAAAGCCAAAGTGCAAGGAAATCACATCAAATAACAACAAATCCGGAGGTGACACATAGTCAAAATATAGAAAATATTCGTGTTTATCAACTTCCCCATGCTTGAACTATTGATTGTCCTCAAGCAAAACAGATGGAAACACACACACACAAGAGGACACAAATTCAAAGAAATGACAATTGAGATATCAAATAAGCACAGGAGCATCCACTAGTCTCAAGTTCACATGCAACATCATTCCAACTCGCTGATAGCATCACAACACCGATCTACAATCGGTAACCCTTCACCTCCTTTCAATAACCCTGATGGTATTATCCTTGACCATGATCTTAATCAAGAGGTACGATTTAATAACTTGGTCTTTAGGCACATGACATCGACAAAATTCATTGATGATGATGCATTGTTACAATTAAGATTGAAAGACAACGTCTATAATTTACTAAATGACATTGGTTGGGGAGATTTTGTGGCTCTGCATAAGCCTACATATAGGAGGATTACCCTAGAGTTCTTAAGTTCTTTAGCTGTTGATGCTAATGATAGCGTAGCAGGTGGTCGACTTATATTTCGATTTCAATAAAGACAATGTGATAAGTATAGCTAAGTTCAACCGCCATCTTGGCCTACCTGAGCAGGGACTTAGAAAACCCCTGAGAGAATGGGATCCAGTCACCTTTTAGAGAGCAATAACTTGTGTGAGAGAGGGTAGGGCAGATGATCATCGACCTTATGAACCTTCCAAAAATAAAGCCTCCCAGATTTATAACCCTGTTTTTCACTATATACAGTGGCTCATGGCAAACACTATCTTTGGTAGAGGAGAGAGCGTATGTGTTTTTAGGGATACCGAAGTCTTCATATTGTATTGTCTAGTTAATAGGATTATGGTTGATATAGGATATTTTTTAGCCAAATAGTTAGAGAAAATTGGGAAATCTAGTGTGTGTGACATTGTTGTTGGGGGGTTGATCACAACCCTCGCAGAACACATGAAACTAGCACTTACCCACCTACATGTGGAGAAACCAATATCTCAATTGGATTTATCATATTACACAGCTTTCAGTCTTATAACTAAGATCGATGACAACTATTGGTTAACTTTATTCAATCATCCTATTTTTCCACTTTCTAATCATGAACTTACTAACACTGAAAGCCAGGATAATTAGCAGCCCCTTGAAGGTAACATGCCATACACACAACCTCCTCAGGTACCCCTATCACCACCAGTTCCACACACCTTCCATCATAGTGCATCCACATCTAGTGCATCTGCAAATTGGAACAACATGTTCAACACATTGGAGCAGGGGCAACAACATTGAAGAGAGTCCATCTCCTCCTTACGTACAGATATCGACATACAATTCAATGTCATTAACATGCGTTTGGATGGTTTTGGCACTACACTAGGTACAATGAACGAATTGATACAGCATTTGCACCACTTGTCCCTACCTTATGGCTATCCACCTCCACCGCCACCTCAATGAGCAGTGAGTCCCATTTCTCTTCCTCGTTTCTGATTATTCCCACACCTTGAGGACAATGTGCAATTCAAGCATGGGAGAGTGGGTTTGTTGGGACTCTCTTAGTGTTACTACCCCTGCTCCAATGTGTTGAACCTATTGTTCTAATTTGTAATTCACTAGATATGGATGCACTGTGATGAAAGGTGTGTGGCACCGGTGGTAGTAGGGGTACCCGAGAAGATTGTGTGTACAGCGAGTTACCTTCAGGGGGCTGCCAATTATCCTGGCTTTTAATGTTAGTAAGTTCATGATCAGAAAGTAGAAAAATAGGACGATTGAAGAAAGTTAACCAATAGTCGTCATCGATCATAGTTTTAAGACTGAAAGTTGTGCAATATGATAAATCCAATCGAGATATTGGTTTCTCCACAGGTAGGTGGATAAATACTAGTTTCATGCGTTCTACGAGGATTGTGATCAACCCCCCAACAACAACGTCACCCGCACTAGATTTCCCAATTTTCTCTAACTGTTTGGCTAAAAAAGTATCCAACATTAACCACCATCCTATTAACTAGACAATACAATATGAAAACTACGGTATCCCTAAAAACACTTACGCTCTCTCCTCTACCAAAGATAGTGTTTGCCATGAGCCGCTGTAGATAGTGAAAAAAGGGTTATAAATTTGAGAGGCTTTATTTTTGGAAGGTTCATAAGGTCGATGATCATCTGTCCTACCCACTCTCTCACGGGTTATTGCTCTCCAAAAGGTGGCTGGATCTCATTCTCTCGGGGTTTTCTAATTCCCTACTCAGCTAGGCTAAGAAGGCAGTTGAACATAGCCATACTTATCACATAGTCTTTATAAAAAAATCGAAAGATAAGTCGACCACCTGCTACGCTATCATTAGCATCAAGAGCTAAAGAACTTAAGAATTCTAGGGTAATCCTCCTGTATGTAGGCCTATGCAGAGCCACAAAATCTCCCCAACCAATGCCATTTAGTAAATTATAGATGTTGTCTTTCAATCCTAATTGTAACAATGCATCATCATCAATGAATTTCATCGATGTCATGCGCCTAGAGACCAAGTTATTAAATCATACCTCTTGATTAAGATTAGGGTCAAGGATAATACCATCAGGGTTATTTGAAGGAGGTGAAGGGTTACCCCTTGTAGATCAGTGTTGTGATGTTGTCGACGAGTTGGAGGTTGATGCTTGATTGGTTTTTTGCGTTTTGGAGCCATGGGGCTGAATGGATCAGTTCTGGTTCCTCAGTTGACGAATGAGAGATCATAGGATTTGAAGGGCAGTGCTGCTCTTGTCGGAATTGTACGGGTGGTGTATTGGTGCTGGAGGTACTCCTGGCAGTGGGTTAGAGAAGAGGTGGAAATGATGAGTGGGTTTTGGTGTAGGTAAGAAGTCAATGGGTTTTGGGAAAGTTAATGGGATTGCTAGGCTTTTGTTGGGGAAGTGGGAAGTTAATGTGGAAGTCAGAAGTTGTTGGGGGTGGGGGGTGAGAACAAACTAATAAATGGGGGGAGGGTTAGGAAATTTATGGGAGAGTCAGAGGTTGTCGGGGAGGTGGGAAATTATTGGGGAAATCAGCGGTTGTGGCCTTATTGTAGAACCAAGGAAGTGAAGACTGTCACCCGACAGCTACACAACTGTGTCTGCGGACACAGCCTAGTCATGTAAACTGATTATTTAGCATTTTCCTTAGTCATCTCCTTTGGTTTTTCTTTAGCTTGAACTCTTTGCTACCCATCTTGTTATCCACCTGCACACCAATTCATGTCAGCCTAATTAGATGTCATGAAAACTAACTGAAAATCAAACACCAAAAATAAAAAAAATAAAAATAAAAATAAGAAAATAAAGTGAAAGAAAAACTTGGGTTGCCTCCCAAGAAGCGCTCTTTCAATGGTCATGACCTCGACCCCTTATTTGCTCACGATGATGATATATTGGGGAGGGTAAAAATACCCAACTTCTCGATTAGAGTGCCCATGAAATAATACTTTAACCGCTATCCATTGACCTTGAAGATTCTCGTGGCCTCACTCCATACTTCAACAACCCCAAATGGGTATACCTTACACACTTGGGATGGCCCTAACCATCTCGAACGAAGTTTGCCCAGAAAAGGCTTGAGTCGAGAATTAAATAGAAGTATCAAGTCTCCTCCTGTAAACTCTTTACGGAGGATGTGTTGATCGTGCCACTTCTTTGTTCCTTCTTTGTAAATCTTGGCATTCTCATATGCATCTAACCTCAATTCATCGAGTTCATTAAGTTGGAGCTTTCTCTGTTTTCCTGCTTCTTTCAAATCCAAATGAATGTTCTTGATAGCCCAATGAGCCTTATGTTCCACTTCAACTGGTAAATGATATGATTTCTCATAGACCAACCTGAATGGCATCATACCAATAGGAGTCTTATAAGCCGTCCGATATGCCCAAAGAACGGCATCTAGCTTCATAGACCAATCTTTTCTCGAACGAGACATTGTCTTCTCCAAGATTCCCTTAATCCCCTGATTAGTTATCTCCACCTGGCCACTTATTTGAAGTTGATATGGTATAACCATTTTGTGAGGTACTCCGTACTTCTTTAAAAGTGTACTTAGGACCCTGTTTGCAAAGTGTGATCATCCATCACTGATTACAGCTATTGGGACACCAAACCGAGGGGAAATGATCTTTTGAAATAATTTGACTATCACTTTTACATCATTTGTTGGGGATGCTAAAGCTTCAACCTATTTTGAGATGTAATCCACTACTACCAATATATACTTGTTGTTGCGAGACAATGGAAAAGGTCCCATAAAGTCGATCCCTATACGTCGAAGAGTTCGACTTCAAAAATGCTATTCAGTGGCATCTCATTCCTTCTTGAGATGTTTCTCGTTCGTTGACAACGGTCACAACTAAGCACGAAATGTCTCACATTCTTGAAAAGTGAAGGCCAATAGAACCCATATTGTAATACTTTAGCCGCGGTCTTGGTGGTGCTTGCATGACCTTCGTATGGTGAAGAATGGCAGTGGGAGATGACACCTAATATTTCCTCTTCAGGCAGACACCTTCTAAATACCTCATCTGCACAATGCTTATAAAGACAAGGTTCATCCTAATAATAGTGTTTGACATCCGATAGGAATTTCTTGCATTATTGGTAGGACAATTCAGGTGGTAACACCCCACAAGCAATATAGTTCACGAAATCAGCAAACCAAGGGGCTTGAAGACTTGTAACAGCAAACAAGTTGTCATCTGGGAATGAATCATCAAATGACTTCTTTTCACCTTCTCCTGGATCCATTTCTTGCCTAAGTCTAGAGAGATGGCCGGCTACCATATTGTTGGTACCTTTCTTGTCCTTTATCTCGAGATCAAACTACTATAATAAAAGAATCTACCTTAGCAGTCATGGATTTGCATCTTTTTTCGCCAAGAGGTAATTCAAAGCGGCGTGATCTGTGAATACTATGACCTTCGACCTAACAATGTATGATCGGAACTTATCCAAGGCAAACACTACGGCTAGGAGTTCTTTCTCTATTGTTGCATAGTTCATCTGAGCATCATCCATTGTTCTACTGGCATAGTATATGGCATATACTTTCCCTTCTTTCCTTTGCCCAAGAACAACCCCGATAGCATAGTCACTTACGTCGCACATAATCTCGAAAAGAATACTCCAATCAGGTGGTCTCATAACTGGGGAGGTTTGCAAAGCTTCCTTTAACCTATCAAAAGCATCAAAACAAGTTTGGTCAAATGCAAAAGGAACATCTTTTATAAGCAAACGGGTTAAGGGCTTCTCAATCTTAGAAAAATCTTTAATGAAACGTCTATAGAACCCGGCATGGCCCAGAAAACTCCTAACTCCTTTTACATTAGTCGGTGGTGGCATCTTGGCAATGATATCAATTTTAGCCATATCCACTTCAATACCCCGATTAGAAATTAAATGACCCAAAACAATCTCTTCTTGTACCATAAAATGGCACTTCTCCCAATTCAACACAAGGTTCATTTCTTTACATCTTTTTAAGATCTTAGCAAGGTTATGCAAACAGTCATCAAAAGAAATACCATAAAGTGAAAAATCATCCATAAAGATCTTCATAACGTTCTTAATAAAATCAGAAAATATGACCATCATGCATCTTTGAAAAGTGGCAGGGGCATTACATAAACCAAATGGCATTCTCCTATAAGCAAAAGTGACATGTGGACATGTGAATGTTTTCTTCTCTTGGTCGCTAGGGTGAATTAAGATTTGAAAAAATCCTGAATACCCATCTAGTTAACAGAAATGAGAATGCCTAGCCAACCTCTCTAACATTTGGTCGATAAAAGGGAGGGAGAAATGATCTTTTCAGATAGATTTATTAAGTTTTTGATAATCAATGCACATGCGCCACCTGGTGACTGTTCTAGTGGGGATTAGCTCATTTTTTCATTTTTTACAACGATCATACCTCCCTTCTTAGGTACTACTTGAACCAGGCTCACCCACTCGCTATCTGAGATGGGATAGATGATCCCCGCATCAAGTAGTTTCAGCACCTCTTTTCTAACGACCTCTTTCATGATCGGGTTTAGCCTTCTTTGATGTTCAATGGAAGTTTTGTATCCTTCTTCCAACAAAATTCGATGCATGCAAATGGATGGATTAATGCCTTTAATATCGTCTATGGAATAACCTATCACATCCTTATGAAATCTGAGAACCTTAAGCAATTTCTCAACTTCTTGGTGACTTAAGTTAGCATTCACAATTACAGGATATGCACCATTGGAGTCTAGAAATTCATACCCGAGTAAGGAGGGAAGTGATTTTAGTTCTACCTTGGGTGCAATTTTCCCTTCACAAACCTGTTCTGGACTTTTTCTGCTGCTTTTTGACACGGCTGTGTCCACGAACACAACCTAGTCATTCAACCCCTTTGCAGTTTCAGCCACTGCATTAGGTTCTTTGTTGTAGGTGGTTTTGGTGTAGGTGGGGCTTTCATCAAGCATTGTAACATAGGAAGTTATTTCCTGATCATCATTAACTTATGCCCTATTCTCTACTAAGCATTTCTCAAGTGGATCACTTGAGATATATCTAGTAAAGTCTTCTCTAACCACTATGTTAACTGTATCAATTCTGCAACAAGTATCATCAATTAATGGAAATTTCATAGCTGAAAACAAGTCAAAATTCACCTTTTCATCTCCTATATTGAGAGAGAGATTTCCATTCTTCACATCAATTACCGTGCCAACAGTAGCAAGGAAAGATCTTCCCAATATAATGGGGATTTGACAATTCTCCTCAATTTCAAGAATAACAAAATTGACTGGAATATAGAATTTACCAACCTGGATAGGTACATTTTCTAATATACCTACCAGACGTTTAACTGATCGATCTGCTAATTGGAGGGAGATAGTGGTGGGCTTCAAGTCTCCCATCTGCAACTTGTTACATATACACAATGACATAAGACTGACACTAGCACCAAGGTCACATAGAGCACGATTAATTGATATATCACCAATTGTGCAAGGAATAGAAAACGAGCCAGGGTCTTTAAGCTTAGGTGGTAACTTATTTTGAATTATGTCACTACACTCTTGAGTTAAGGTTATGGTTTCATACTCCTCTAATTGTCTCTTGTTTGACAGAATCTCCTTTAAGAATTTGGCATAGGTGGGCATTTGGGAAATGACTTCAACAAATAGGATGTTAACATGCAATTTTTTTAATATTTCTATGAATTTACCAAACTGCTTTTCCAACTTAGCTTTAACTTGCCTTTGAGGGAATGGTAGTGGGGGCTTGTAAGGTGCAGGTGCAACATATCTCTCAACCTTCTCTCCTTTCTCGCCAGCATATTCTTTTTCACTTGTCACTAGCTTCTCACTCTCATCAACTACATCCCTATTATCACTCATCACTGGTCCCTCTAACTCTTTTCCACTCCTGAGTGTGATGGCATTGATAGATCCCTTGGGGTTGGTTTCAGGTTGTCCAGGAAACATCCTAGAAGGCTTGGAAGAAGAGATAGATTGTTGGGCCACTTGAGTGATCTGATTCTCTAACATTTTATTATGGGTGGCTAAAGAGTCAACTTTAGAGGTTAGATTCTTAATGGCATCACTCATGATCCTATTCTGATTTCTAAATTCTTCATTCTGCTTATTTTGAGATGTCACAAAATTTTCAATCAAGCTCTCCAAGTTGGACTTTTGGGGACTAGGGTAAGGGAGTCTAGGGACCTAAAAACCTGAAAGTCAAAAATTAGAGTGAGGATTTGGTTTTTGTGGTGGATTTTTATAGGATAAATTAGGATGATTTCTCCATCCCGAGTTGTACGTATTGGAAAAATGATCCCCTTTCTGATTAAAATTATTCATATAAGACAGTGGTGCCTTAGGGGAAGGGGAGTTTCCAATCTGACATTCCACAACAGAATGTCCAATGATACCACATATTTCACAGTTAGTGAGTTAGATGCTACAGAATTCATGCTCATCTTATCAAATTTCTGAAATAAAGCATCTACTTTAGAAGCAATATAGTCTAATGCATCTACATCATACCTCCCGCTCTTTTTGGGTAAAGAGCGCTCACCTGGCCATTGGAAATGGTTCTGTGCCATATCCTCTATGAGTTGTCTTGCATCTCGTACGCTTTTGTTCATCAATGCCCTACTAGCTGCAACATTCACGGTCATCCTAGTGTTGTAGAGAAGACCGTTGTAGAAAGTGTGGATTATGAGCCAATCCTCCAACCTATGATGTGGACACATTCTTAGAAGATCCTTGTACCTCTCCCAAGCATCATACAATGACTCCCCTTCTTTCTGATTAAAGGTTGTTATCTGATTCCTCAACTGGGCTGTTTTGCTCAGAGGGAAGTATTTAGCGAGGAACGCCTTTGAGATTTGGTCCCATGTAGTGATGGAGCCTAGTGGAAGTGATTGCAGCCAAGCCCTTGCCTTGTCCCTTAGTGAGAAGGGAAATAACCTTAGCTTGATTGCGTCGTCCGACACTCCATTCATCTTCAGAGTGTCACAATACTCCAAAAAGATTGAGATATGGATGTTTGGATCTTCGGTAGGAGTACCACCAAACTAGTTTTGCTGAACCATGGAAACGAGTGAAGGTTTGAGTTCGAAATTATTGGCAGCAACATTAGGCTTTACGATGCTAGATTGGGAGCTATGGGTGGTTGGTGATGCAAACTCCTTCAAGGATCGGTCTTGATTGCCTTGGTTTTCTTGGTCTCCCAAGGTGTTTCTGGTTTTCAAACTATCCTTTGCTTCTCGTACCATCTTCCTAATATAACGCAAGATCCTTTCAATCTTAGGATCACACTCGATTGGTTCTCCAAGTCATAAGGATCTGGGCATACAAGGGTGCATGCACAAGAAAACAAAGGAACAAGTCACATGTAATAATAAAAATAAAACAAATAAAAGAAAAAGTCTAGTCTAGTCAAGCAATGAAAAAGTCAATATTAACAATGACGTAGTCCCCGGCAACAGCGCCAAAAACTTATTCACTCAAACCCGCAAGCGCACAGATA